CTCACTGAATGGAAGAGGCTGTGTCTTCAGTGTGGGCTGTGAGAAGCGACTGCAGTGATGTGTACACTCACGTCAGCAGGACCTTGTGGGGTGGCACACACACACATATACACACACACACACATATACACACACACACATACACACACACACATATACACACACACACATACACATAAACATACACACACATATACACACACACACACATATACACACACATATACACACACATATACACACACACACAACACAACACACATACACACAACACACATACACACACACACATACACACACATACACACACACACACATACACACACATATATACACACATACACACACACATACACACACATATACAAACACACATACACACACATATACACACATACACACACACATATACACACACATACACAGACACACATACACACACACATACACAGACACATATACACACACACACACACACACAGAGACGAGCCACTCGGCTCAGCACATCTGCAGTGGGGGTGGTGGGGGGGGGGGTGGGGGGGGTTAACCCTTACATTAGAAGTTTTCCTCCACTTCAGACCCCTAATCCAATCCCACTCTCCTGCCTTCCCTTCGAGCAGCTGCTGACATGTCCCCCTTTTTTAAAAAAAAGAGTTGACAGACGGCTTCCACTGGAGTTCGGGTGACCGATAACCCCAACACTTCTGTCCCCCTCTGTATAAGGATTTTTGCACGAGTGCGCTCCCCAAACTCGGGACATCTCCCCCCAGCCCCGGGTGCCGGGAGGCTCGGCCTGGCCTCGGCCAGTGGCACTCTCTGGCTCTGGAGCAGAAGATCGCTCCATGTCCGGCCCTGGGACTCAGCGAATCTACTCCTGACCCGCAGTCCCACTTTGAGAAGGAAGCCTTCCCGATGTGAATAGCACTGCTGTACAGTATTATTATTATTATTATTATTATTATTACCCTCGCTATCCCTGTTGCCTCCCCCCCCCCCCCCCCCCCCCTGCAGCTTAGGCTTTAGGGAAATCAAACAGAGTGGAGATGTAGAGAGAAATCTCCTTTCTTCTCACAAGAGGTGGGGGTGGGGTGGGGGGGTGGGGGGTGGGGGTGGGGGTGGGGGGGGGGTGGGGGTGGGGGGGGTGGGGGGGGGACAGCGGGAGCGTTCTGAAAAAAAACAGGGAAGCGAGTGAATCAAATCATTGCAACACCGACTCAGTTTACAGCTGTCAAAAGAGCGAGTTCGGTGCTAAAGCGCAGCTCGGACTGTGCCTGTGTGACTGTGACAGAGAGCGCTGGAGAGTACAGCAGAGACTCTCCCCAGGAGACAGGGACACACACACACACACACAGGGGGAGAGAGAGGAGAGAGAGAGAGACTTCCAAGCATTGAGGAATGAAAGCTTCGTGAAAATGTACCGTCTCCTGGAGACAACCACCGTCCGCATCCGACACAGAGGGAGACCGGCAATAAAGCAGAGGTGACATCTGTAAATTACTGGGAATATATATATATATATATAGGTGTGTGTGTGTGTGTGTGTACGTGGGACGGGGAAGAGGCGGATTTATATATATATATATATATATGTATATAAAGCTCAAATAAAAACAGTGGCTGAAATAATGGATGTGGGGGAACACGGAGCTGAAAAGAACGAGAAGGGTCGGTTAGAAAGTTGACAGTCGGTTTGGAGGCTGTGGTGGGGACAGGAAGACTGTTTGCATTTCCTCGACACTGCAGTCGTGTGTGTGTGTGTGGTGCTGTGCTGTGCTGTGTGTGGTGCTGTGCTGTGTGTGGTGCTGTGTGTGGTGCTGTGCTGTGTGTGGTGCTGTGTGTGGTGCTGTGCTGTGTGTGGTACTGTGTTGTGCTGTGTGTGGTGCTGTGTGTGGTGCTGTGTTGTGCTGTGTGTGGTGCTGTGTGTGGTGCTGTGCTGTGTGTGGTGCTGTGTTGTGCTGTGTGTGGTGCTGTGTGTGGTGCTGTGCTGTGTGTGGTGCTGTGTTGTGCTGTGTTGTGCTGTGTGTGGTGCTGTGCTGTGCTGTGTGTGGTGCTGTGCTGTGTGTGGTGCTGTGTGTGGTGCTGTGTTGTGCTGTGTGTTGTGCTGTGTGTGTGTGCTGTGCTGTGTGTGTGGTGCTGTGTGTGGTGCTGTGCTGTGTGTGGTGCTGTGTTGTGCTGTGTGTGGTGCTGTGTGTGGTGCTGTGCTGTGTGTGGTGCTGTGTTGTGCTGTGTGTGGTGCTGTGTTGTGCTGTGTGTGGTGCTGTGCTGTGTGTGGTGCTGTGTTGTGCTGTGTGTGGTGCTGTGTTGTGTGTGGTGCTGTGTTGTGTGTGGTGCTGTGCTGTGTGTGGTGCTGTGTTGTGCTGTGTGTGGTGCTGTGTTGTGCTGTGTTGTGTGTGGTGCTGTGTTGTGCTGTGTGTGGTGTTGTGCTGTGTGTGGTGCTGTGTTGTGTGTGGTGGTGCTGTGTGTGGGTGTGTGCTGTGTGTGTGTGCTGTGTTGTGCTGTGTGTGGTGCTGTGTTGTGCTGTGTGTGGTGCTGTGCTGTGTGTGTGCTGTGTGCTGTGTGTGGTGCTGTGTGTGTGTGGTGCTGTGTGTGGTGCTGTGCTGTGTGTGGTGCTGTGTGTGTGTGGTGCTGTGTTGTGCTGTGTGTGGTGCTGTGTGTGGTGTGTGTGGTGTGTGTGGTGCTGTGTGTGGTGCTGTGTGTGGTGTGTGTGTGCTGTGTGTGGTGTGTGTGGTGCTGTGTGTGGTGCTGTGTGTGGTGTGTGTGGTGCTGTGTGTGGGGGTGTGTGTGGTGCTGTGTGTGTGGTGCTGTGTGTGGTGCTGTGCTGTGTGTGGTGCTGTGTTGTGCTGTGTGTGGTGCTGTGTTGTGCTGTGCTGTGTGTGGTGCTGTGCTGTGTGTGGTGCTGTGCTGTGTGTGGTGCTGTGTGTGGTGCTGTGTTGTGCTGTGTTGTGCTGTGTGTGGTGCTGTGTTGTGCTGTGTGTGTGCTGTGCTGTGTGTGCTGTGTGTGGTGCTGTGTGTGGTGCTGTGTGTGGTGCTGTGTGTGGTGCTGTGTTGTGCTGTGTGTGGTGCTGTGTTGTGCTGTGTGTGGTGCTCTGTGTTGTGCTGTGTTGTGCTGTGTGTGGTGCTGTGCTGTGTGTGGTGCTGTGTTGTGCTGTGTGTGGTGCTGTGTTGTGCTGTGTGTGGTGCTGTGTGTGGTGCTGTGTTGTGCTGTGCTGTGTGTGGTGCTGTGTGTGTGACTTGTGGAGTAAAAAGAGTGAGCGGTTTCGACACCGGCAAAAAAAATAGCTGTGCTGCTGGACTGAGAAGCTGGAGAGAGAGAGAGAGAGAAAAGAGAGAGGAAGAGAGAGAGAAAAGAGAAGAAGAGAGAGAGAGAGAGAAGAGGAGAAAAAAAAAAGCTCCCAGGAATAGATCTGCACATCAGATGGAAATACAATCGCTGTAAGGGGATCGTTTGGTGGTCGGAAATACTGGCAGGAGAGAGGGGGGGAGAGAGGGAGAGAGAGGGGGGGGAGAGGGATAGAGAGGGAGGGGGGGAGAGAGGGATGGGGGGGAGAGAGGGGAGAGAGGGAGGGGGGAGAGGGAGGTTTGAGCTGCAGAGCAAACACAGCGACTGTGTGATAAAACAGGGTCTGTTAAGGTTTGTAAATATTCCCTCTTCTTTCTCCCCCCCCCCCCCCCCCCCCCCCCCACCCCCACCCCCCACCCTCTCCCTCCCTCTCCCCCCCCAAAAAAAAAACAACCCCTAACCACTTTATAAGAAGAGAGGAAAGGAGATCGGGGAGGATTTAGCTGTGAAGTACTCCAGGAGAAGGGTTACTCACCGGCAGGAAGGAATTTGCTATCTGGAAGCAGGAATTCACCCCCCCCCCCCCACCAACCTCACCACCCCCCCCCCCCCACCCCCTCACACCAACCCCCCCACCCCCCCCCCACCAACCCTCACCCCCCCCCCAACCCTCACACCAACCCCCACCCCCACCCCTCACACCCCCCCCCCCCCCCCCAATCCGTGCAGTTGATGGGATAAATCTCCGTGTGGTTGTTTAAGGACGGGGGGGGGGAGGGGGGGTGTGGGGGACTCGTCGGTCCCACTCCCTCTCCCACCGCCTGAGATGTGAGTTGCAGTCGGGATTCCTGTGCGTATGGGGAGAGGAGGGAGCGCCGCCAGCGGACCCCCACCCCGAGAGAGAGCAGCCCCCCACCCCGAGAGAGAGCAGCCCCCCACCCCGAGAGAGAGCAGCCCTTCGCCGGCCAAGGAGCACAGGGGCTGCGTAATGAGGAGACCGAGAGTCCCAGACAGGGCGAGCCGACAGCCCGCACAGCCAGACCCCAACGCCTTGTGACAGAACCCTGCATGATCTGACCACCCCCCCCCACCCCAGGGCTTCAGCCCCTCTCACTGACCCCAGCCCACACCCCCCCCCACTGACCCCACCTCCATCCCCCCACTGACCCCAGCCCACACCCCCCCACTGACCCACCCCCATCGCCCCACTGACCCCAGCCCACACCCCCCCCACTGACCCCAGCCCACACACCCCCACTGACCCCACCTCCCCTCACTGACCCCAGCCCACACCCCCCACTGACCCCAGCCCACACCCCCCCACTGACCCAGCCCATCCCCCCACTGACCCCAGCCCCATCCCCCCCCACTGACCCCAGCCCCATCCCCCCCACTGACCCTAGCCCCATCCCCCACTGACCCAGCCCACACCCCCCCACTGACCCCAGCCCACCCCCCCACTGACCCCAGCCCACACCCCTACTGACCCCAGCCCACCCCCCCCACTGACCCCACCTCCCCTCACTGACCCCAGCCCCATCCCCCCTACTGACCCCAGCCCCATCCCCCCCACTGACCCCAGCCCCATCCCCCCCACTGACCCCAGCCCCATCCCCCCCACTGACCCCAGCCCCATCCCCCCACTGACCCCAGCCCCATCCCCCCCATTTACCCCACCTCCCCTCACTGACCCCAGCCCATCCCCCCCCCCCACTGACCTCACCCTCACTGATTCTTGCCCAGAGCTCCAGCCCCCTCACTGACCCCTCCTCATAGACTCTCCCCCACCCCTCACTGCCCTCCTCCCTTCACTGATCCAACCTAGGGCTGCATTTGGAACTTCCTTGTGGCTGCAGCTGCAGCAAGTGCTCTGGCCAATTGGTTCCAGCCGGGGTCTATCTGTCTCCTTCTGAGTGACTGCCTTAGGTCTAGACATTCTCCAAGAACCATGGAAGTTCCTCGGTGCTCAAAGAAGAGCTTGTCTCTAACCCTGCCTCTTCCTGTTCCCCGAGAGGGACAGGCAACCCTGAAACCACCCCAGCACCTCTGGAGGCAGCCCCGGACTCCCATCAAGATCAAACACCGAGGCTACTCGGACACGGACCGCCATGTTCACCGGCAAATGGAGAGGTCTAATGCCGTGGACACGAGCGACCGACCCGGGCTGAAGAAATCCCGGATGTCTTGGCCCTCCTCGCTGCAGGGATCGATCAGGCGGTAGGAGCTGCTTTCATTTCTATATCCATGGACATTCGTTCTATAATGATTAGTCAGGAACATTTCAGCATTTCAGGCATAATGCTGTCTGTCTGTCTGCACACAGCAAATCTCACGCTTGGGCTATTTATTAGCATTTTGTACACAGCCTGCGGTGGTCTAATCATTCCCCTTCCATCGCGAATTTACTGAGCTTTGAGATTGGATACTTCCTGTTGTACGTTTTCAATTCACACTTCCCTCCCTTATTCGGGAGGTGAATATATATATTTTTATAATTAACATATATATATATATAAAACAGTATGTAGAAAAGTTATTCTCAGAGTTCATTTCTCAGCTTAAATCCACGACTGTTTGTGGGACACCGCTGTGAGCAATTGGCTGCCGCGTTTCACTCACAAAATTTACAGTCATTACACTTTGCAATATATTCTGTGAGGCACTTTGAGGCGTCTCAAAGACATGATAAGGCGCTGCATAAAATGCAAGGATTATTATCAATAATGTGGATTTTGCACATCACAAGAATGGAACACTTCTTCACTCAGAGGGTAGTGAATTTATGGAATTCTCTACCCCAGAAGGCTGTAGATGCTCAGTCCTTGAACATATTCAAGACTGAGATTGATAGATTTGTAAAGCATTAAGGGATATGGGGATAGAGGGGCCAAATGGCCTACTCCTGCTCCTAATTCCTATGTTCCTATGGAATCAGGGCAGTGTTGTTGCAGAGTTGGCCTTTGTTTACAATGCCATGGGAATGGCATTGGGTCACTTGGCCCTTGATGACCGATTTGCTTTTCTCCACTCACCCATTTCAACATGGTGCTCATTAAAACCCCTTGAAGAGCTCACGGGTGCCAAGTCTCTCCGTCAGCATCTCAATGTGTAATAATAATCCTTGCATCTGATGTAGTACTTTATCCCATCGATACATCATTTTATATGTAAAGTAACCATGTTTTGTAGGCGAACGCAGCAACCAATTTGCTTACATCAGTGTCCCACAAACAGCAATGAAGTGAAGGAATATTTTTTTTATTGGAGTGGGGGAAGGGAATTGTTGTCCAGGACACTGAGAGAAACTCTCTTCTCTTCATTGAGTGAGTGCCATGCTATCTTTAATGTTCACCTGGACAGGCCATGGGTACTCGGTTTAATTTGGATTCCTGCTTTGTCGGCCTCCCCAACTCCTCCCGCCACAGGCTGCAGATCATCCAGAAGTTTGCAGCCCATGTCCTCTCCCGCACCGGCCTCCGCCACCCTATCACCCCCATCCTCGCCCGACTCCACTGGCTTCCCATCACACAGAGGATACAGTTCAAGATCCTGGCCCTCACCTCCATGGCCTTGCTCCCCCCTACCTCTGCGACCTACTAACCCCATAACAACCTGCTTGTTCCCTGTGCTCAGCGGACTCTGGGCTGCTTCATGTCCCCTATTTCGCCCATCCCACCATTGGCGAGCGGGCCTTTTGCCACTCTGCCCCCACCCTCTGGAACTCCACCTCGCCACCTCCCTTGCCTCCTTCACAAGACCCTCCTCTTCAACCTTGCTTTCGGTCACCCTTCTTCCCCCCCCCAGCTCTCCACCCTCTCCAATCCCGACCCTGACTCCCAGCTCGAGTCCAAAACACTGATTGTCCAGCACCTTGGGACGTCCTCCCGACTGCTTTTACGTGAAAGGTGCTGTACGTACACATGTAATTTTGTTGTGGTTGTTGTTGTAATTTAATGACTTTATACTAAAGGCGACACCTCTGGCATTGCAGGGATGGGTGAAGCACTCTTGAACCATTGCATTGGAGTGTCAGCATAGACCATGAGCTCAAAGCCTTGATTTGGAGCTAAAACTGACAACTCCAGAGGCAAGAGTAAACCAAGCTGATGTCCGAGTGAGGTTTAACTGAAATAATTACACCTTGTTTCTTAAATTGCACACCAGTGCACAGTTTGTGCTGCAACTTTATTTTCTATTTTCTGAAGAGTATTAAACCCAACTGTTTTTCTCATTGAAGTGAATGCCACCCCTTAAATCAGATTAATGGCCACAGTGCCACCTGTGTTATTGAATAATCTCCTCGGGATGCTTCTCTGGAAAATGGACCTCAGAGAGCCATCAAACAAAGCTCGGAGTAAAATCAAGTACTATACAGTACAATTCAGCAAAGTTAGCATCCAACCAGCTGAAAAGCACATCGTTCTCTCTGAAATTCGCTGCTTGACTGCTTTTACGTGCTGTTGAACAAAAGGAAGCATGTAGAAATATATTAATTACAATCGCGGCGAAAATCTTGTATGTTCTGCTGAAGTAAACCAAGCCTGAAGTACATTGCTTTTAGAGTTCTGTCACAGTGCTGCCCGCGTTCATGGCTTCAGGTGTAAAAAAAAATCCTCAATTCAGACTTGATTTGGTTTGGAAGCTGTTTTTCCGCAGGTGTTAAGAGCAACCAGCTTCCAAATTGAGACAGGGTTTAAGGATTTTCCACAATTCTGCAGCAGCCTGAGACCAGTGGAATTAGACCTCACTTCCTAGGTGGTAGGTAGCAGGTATTTGCCTCTTTGAGCAGCCTGGTTCAAGCTGTTCCCACCCCAGATCTCATGATAAACATTTTATTATATATGCTGTACGTGCCAAAAGAAAGAGGCTGAAGGGATCAACATGTTTATACTATATTAATAAAACAAAGGTTATAACAGATATTTTGGTTGTTCAAAAGAAAGCACTGTAAATGGCATTCTGTCTCTCTGAACCCTCTCGTTGTTTTTCGTTCTTTACTCCACTGAGAATCAGCCCGAAAGTATAAGGCTGCAATGTGGGGTCTGGCTCAGCGGCTGACACAGCAGGCGTGTGCTGCAAGACGGAGTCTATGTAAAGATTTTAAAGTCGTACGTTAGGAACCGTTGTACTTATTGCAAATGTAGGAACTGAACCAGCAGGATTTTTTAATTAGCTGGGAACTAAGTCTTGCTGGTTTTATTCTGTTCCTCTCCCCTCCTGCTCTTGAGGCTTAACATTCCACCTTGTCTCAGCCTGTGAGACCCTTTTACCTCACTGTTTTAGATGCCACAACTTAATCCTTAAATCCAGTCTTAATTTGGAAGTTTCTTTAAGAACTACGGAAAACTGGCCTCCAATGTAAGACCGAATTAAAGAATTTTCCACAATTCCACACCAATTTTAAGGAGGAAAAACAGTCTCGCAAGCTAAGACGAGGTGGAATCCTAGGGCCTCTCGAATTTCCACTGCTCAGCAACAACAATTGTGTTTATATAGCGCCTTTCACGCCAGACGGTGTCTCGGCGTACTTGAGGCTGGTGGGCACTTCACTGTGGACAGAGCACAGCTGCCATGTGGAGCATTGCACTGTCAGAGCGAGCGGGCAGCACGTTCCTCACCTGTTGTACAGTGTGACATCAAATGGGTATTTGGATTAAACTGTGATCACACCACCAGCGGGTGTTAACATAAAACTAGCAAACCTGAAGCGATGCTGGGGCTGGGGAGAGGAGCGAGCAGACATAACTTGCAGTGAAAACTGCATCAGTCTAACTCCTGAACAAGGAATGGCTGAATGCTGCATTTGAGAAGCAACACTGCTTGTAGTCCCAAAAGGATCAGAAGCTCACAGGGTCTTTGTGATCGCTGGCCTCTTGGTGATTTACACACGGAATCCGGGTGAATGGGAAAGATTGCTACCAGTTGAAATGGCAGCTTGTGTCCTATGGTTTTTGTTCCATGACTATAGCAAGGGGGAGAATGAGAAATATTCTGATGTAGATTGTTTGCTCTATCTTCATTCCTCCTACAGAAGAGTGTATACATTGGGAGGCAACACTCTGAGACGCTACCCTGTGTGAGAGGCGCTACATAAATACAAGTTGTTGTCGTATATGGTGTGCTAGAAAATAACATGCTGTGCAAGCTGATCTTTCACCTTATTCCAGGCTTGCTGGAAGTAGGTCTCATTATTTATTCTCCCTTACACAGAGCACAGAGACGGAAGAGTAGCACTGTCTCATATTGCCACACTCCGCACTGCAGTCTGCAATCTGCAACGGAAGGCACCACAACTGAGTACTCTCTATGCCGGTGTAACTACACCCTCTCATTTATAACGAGTCTGTTGTGTAAAGCGCTTCAAGATGTTTATTTTACCGTTTATTGGAAGATGCCGTATAAAATAATCAAAAAAATCCTTGTATTTGATATAGCGCCTTAGCACCTCTTCTAGATGATGTCTCAAAGCGCTTCACAGAATATGCTGTAAAGTGAACTGACTATGTTTTGTGGGTGAAACGTTATAGTTATTATTATTATTAGCGGTTAAAAGAAACAGAGTGGAGGTTAGGAAAAAAAATTACACCCAGCGAGTTGTTGGGATCTGGAATGCATTACTTGAAAGGGTAGTGAAGCCGATTCAATAACAACTTTTAAGAGAGCAGCAGATGGGTACTTGGGGAGGACGGGATCGCAGGGCTATGGAGAGAAAGCGGGCCAGTGGGATTGAGTTGGATTGCTCTTTTAGGAGCCGGCGCAGACACGATGGGCCGAATGGCCTCCTTCTGTGCTGTATGATTCCATGATTCTATTACCATTAGAAGCTCAACAGTGCACCTCGTCTCAGCCAGTCTTAACCACTTTTCTACTGAAACTCAAGATTGTGCAGAATTCTGGAGAAATCTTCATTTCAGTGTTAATTTATGAACTGCGGATTTCAAATAATTATTGAATTGACCGATTATCCAGTTCCCGCACAGTGCTAAATTTGAGGACAAAACCGTCTCGGAGGCTAAGGCCAGGCGGAATTTTGGGCAAGATGACCAGGGATCAAAGATAAGCAGTGTCTGACTGCGCGGAGAACATGTTTAAACCACAATCGGGATTGGTGTGAAGGGCGAAATCGTGTATTGTAACTGCTCGTGAGGGTGCGGCGAGGTGCACGACACGCCTCTTCACCGTGCGTAGTTCCTTACAGCTCTCTGAGGTCAGCGCTT